TGTTTTCGTGATGCACATTTTCTTTGCATAAAACTCTCTCTTATACATGAGTTGCTGTGGATTTGTTTCTCCAAAGTACCTAGACTAATACAAGGGTTTGCCGTAGTTTCCGGCAATAAAAATTTTTCTCTTTTGCACGCCCGCCCCCCCCACCTCCCCTCACTCCCGTCAGTCAGAAGACGATCTTGAAGTACCGTTTTTCATCATTTAGAATCTGGCTGTTTGTTATAATGGCCCACTGGGGCAGCAAGCACGGGACTTTGCCATGCAGCCTCGTACAACTGTCTTCATCAGAGTCTCCCTAAGGACTGTGAGGCTGATGCAGCCGGAGGCTCTGGGGGCCGGGAAGCCAGCTGGAGAGCTGGCGCCCAGGAGCTCCTGGCCTTTCAGAAGTACCTGGTCAGCTTCTCTGTGCATCTCTCTCCAATGCGACCTTCTCGGCAAAGCGTGTCAGACCGAAGTCTGCCACCAGGCCGTCAACACAGAGGACACATCCTCACTGACCTGCTGTCGCATAAGACACGGGGCTGGAGGGGGACATCCGGACCAACACCACCAACAGCAAACACCGCCCGTTCAGTTTTCCAATCTGGAGAGACTGAGGAGAGAGGAAGGACGCTTCATCCTTGTTAACACGAGTTAGAGATGGCCTAGAGAGAATGGCTTTGGGTGCCCAGAAAACAACGTTAAACTACCAAGTCATGTCCCCCCCCTGGTATCGTTTATCCTGCCACGGTGGGCCTGAACACATCAGCGTGTCCACTAGAAATGGTCCGGAGATCTCGATTCTAGCCCGGTGGAATGGGCCCTGCTGTCGAACCTGTGCCCACGTCTCTGCCATAGTTCTTTTCACGGGTCCTTTGTAGGAAAATCAGTGGCTCTGGTCTGTGGTTGTATCTGTGGCACCTGCAGAGAACTGTCTGAGAGGAGCCAGACCCAAAGCCAAGCCCATTGGAAACCCACGGATGCCGAGCTGTTAAATGTAAACCAAAGAACACAGCAAAATAGAAGAGGCGACAGTGGCACATATTTTCCATCCGAAGAAAAAGGAAGGTTTCTCACGCTTTGATCCCCTGTTTCTGGCCACTTGTAGCACGTTCAGTAAGCCCCGTGTTAGTCTGGTGCGTAAGAGAGAACTAACTGTTAGATCTCTCGTGTGAGAAATACCTTGGACCTTGTCTTCCCTGTAGAGAATTCACTTGGAAGCCTGGATGTGATCCAAGTGGGTTTTATAAAGGTTTTTAGAAAAGGTTCAAGGTTTACACAGGCACCCTCGGGGCATTTCACACCCGCACGTGGAGTCCTTAGGCCAGAGGAACCACAGCCTGGCACAGGAGCAGCTGAGAAAAGGGTAGTGGGATTCAGATCCTGGCATTTCAGGCCCTACACTGGGAGGTGTGGTCGAAGGTACTGGTTGACCCTATTGGCTGAATTATGTTCACCTGGCCTAGATGGGGCCAATCCAGGTATACTGCCCACCTAGGTGTTCCGCCCCTTCCTGGCCAGAGTCCAAATCTGAGCATGCGCAGTGGACATCCTGGCCCCTGTGCTAACTACCTAACAGAACTTTATATATATCAAAGAGCAATTGTATATTACAAAAACATCCCAGCCCCGTCTAGATCATGTCCAAAAGTCCGATATCAGCCCCTATGTGTGATACTAGTCCATAAATTCTTTAGACTCACGCAGCACATGCAATGACGCCGAATGCA